AGAAGACAAAGGAGATGGTCGTGGACTTCAGACAGAACAAACACACCCCCCGATCATAGGAGGATCTGCGGTGTAAGTGGTCTCCAGCTACAAGTACTTGGGTGTGTACCTGAACAACAACCTCAGCTGGGGCAACAACACCACCAGCCTGATCAAGAAAGCTCACCAGAGACTCTACTTCCTCAGGCGGCTGAGACGAGCTGGTCCTCCTTCTACGGGTGTGCAGTGGAGAGCATCCTGTGCTCCAGCATCAACTTGTGGCATGGAGGCTGCACAGCTGCAGAAAGAAAAGCTTTGCAGAGAGTGGTGAAGGCTGCACAGAAGACTGTTGAAGTCAGCCTCCCCATCATCACAGACATCTACAATGCTTTTCCATTAATACCATTAGTACCGGTACAGCACGGTTTGACTCTGCTCGGCACGGTATGAGTTGTGTTTCCATTATACTTTCAGTAATGGTTCTAGTGGGCAGGTTCAGCTCAGAGCCCACAGGAGCGCGCTAGGCTGAGACCAGGGCCTGAACCGGCCTCTCCTGCAGGTTGGCAGCACGGAGGATTTTCTGTAGTGACTGGCAGAGCTCGGCACCAGGGATATGATGCCCTGCTCGGCCTGAGGGTCTCTGAGGCTCTGGTGGAGGACCGGGGGGCTGGTGGAGCTCCATTTAGCTTGCTCTGAATTTTGTCGTCGGCCACCAAGTACAAAAAAATGCCTGTACTTCAGCATTAAACCACAATTTTGTCATTATTGTTTTTAAAATTTTTAAAATAGGTCCAGTCACTGCTTGAGTTCGAGTTATTGCAAATGGTGGCTCGGGTTGTGAAAGTTTCTCAAACAGCCAGTGACTCCACCCCCTGACCAGTCAGTGATCGACAGTGTTCTGACGCCATGTTTTTGGGCCAGTTTGGCACTGTTGAAACCCCAGAGAAAAAGGGACTGAAAAAGGGACTGGTTCCCTGAAACGTTGCTAGTGGAAAAGCCTTGGAACCGTGCCGAGTCGAGTTGAACCGTGCTGTACCGTTACTAATGGAAAAGGCCACAAGATGCAGGAAGAGGGCCACCTGCATCATGAAGGACCCCACTCAGTCAGCACACTCACTTTTGCCTCGCTCCCCTCAGGCAGGAGGTTGAGGAGCATTAAATGTAGAACCACTAGAGTGAGGAACAGCTTCTACCCTGAAGGTATTAGACTCATGAATCCCTAATCAGGATTATCACTGTGAAAAAATAAAAATAAAAATCACTGTAATGCCACTTGATTGTTGATATGTGCTGCTGACTATCTATGCTGCTGATCTCATGCTGCTGATTTATTTAATTCTACTGTGCTCATTTGTACTCATCTGCTCACACAGACTCATGATCATGCTGCTGTTGTTCGGCGTAGCGTTTTTGTACCATTAGTGCTTAGCATATTCTTACTTTAGCATATTTCTTAGTTCATATCTTAGAACTTACTGTTTTTCTTTACAATTTATAATTTTGTTGGATGTAATTGGGACCCTGTGTACACAATTTCATTCCACCACATGTACTACATATGATGCGAATGACAATAAAGAAACCTTGACCTTGATAAATAGGTTTTCCAACGGTATGAGAGTTATTGCTAAAGAAAGTCTTGTTACAACAACAAAATCATCAACCAAACGCAAATGTCTGCACTTTTTTGTGAAACGTATCCTATTCAAACAAAAGTGTTATTTTATTTCACTCAAAGCCGAGCAGAAATAGATGATTCTGTGTTTCTTCCAATGTAGTTTCTTCTAAATTAAAGAGTTTCACAGTAAACTATTTTTAGTCCAGGCAAAAATAAAGCAACTTCTCAGCTCCTGACAGTTGATAGTTAACTAGTCTAAGTTGTGTTATTTGTAGCCCTCAAAGACAGGGTGTGTTGGATGAGTTGTGTTAAAAGGGACTTTCGGAGTAAACTTGACCTCACATGCAATTTAGTTACATCCTGGTGCATCGGCAGAAAGTCTCCTGCAGTCAACCAGTGATTCCAATGGAGAAAACAAGTCAGGAGTCCGGGAACATGACCAGATCACTGCTGCTGTCATTATCCACCAGCTACTCATGTTCTTTCCCACACACAGAAACACAGTTACCTCCTCCAGCTCAATCAGAGGGGGATTCCACTTGGTTAAGAAAAGGAAACTGGATATGTTCTGTGTTTCTCTTCCATCTCTGCTCTTGTCCTTTCTCACAGCTTTTACCTTCTTTTCCTTGCAGATATTTTGTGTGTGTGTGTGTGTGTGTGTATGTGGTGGTGGTGGGGGGGGGGGGGGGTACTTGTATCAAACAGAAAGTCAAATATCTCCTGTGTCTTGTGTCCAGGTTAATACAAAGACGTGTTTTCAGCTAAACCAGAAACATTGCTCAAGAATGGGCAATGTTGATCAGTAAACAGCTTTGATTAAAAAATTTAAAATATATATATTTCTTAGAGACTGTTATGGTCTGTATGTCTAGGAGTGAGTCGCATGATGCATATGAAATCTAGACCATTGTAATATTTTAACCAATACATTTTAATAAACGATCATCTAGACAGGAAAAAGGGAATTGGGATCCCCGTCTAAAATGAACACAAGGTGAAGCTTGTTCTTTCAATGTCTCACCGTTAGGCATTTATGGGCTTATGCTGATGACTTTAACTGAAATTATTGATGGTGATCATTGATTGCTTTTGAAATTTGGCTCGACTATTAATTTTTAAACTTGAGACTAGCTGCTCTAACTTTGAGAGTTCAAACAGCAAAAAAATCATTTTTGGTGTAGCTACATCTAGGTTTTCAGTTGACTTTTGTCGAATCCTTGTCTCTAAGAGATTTTCTGTTTCATGTATTTTTGAAATCATCTTTGTTTTGTACAGCTGTATTTTTTATTTATTAAGGATAATTTATTAGGCTAGACCAGTCTTACTGCCATACGGACTATAATATCAAGCAACAAGATGGTCAGGACAAATAAGGACGCATCAAAATAATTTTCTCCATACAAGGTCTGAAAATTTTATGTCACCTCTGTTTCTTTGACATGTTTAAAGCCGTGAAAAATTGTAACTATAACTATACATTAGCAGAAGCATCAAGGTTTTCTGTATCTGTGCAGTGGAAAGAAAGGGAAGTAAATTTCCATCAAGTCCTTTCTGAGGGCATTTCTTACAGTTTGTACCTAACATGGGCGACCATTGAAAGAGGTCTTTAGATCTGCATTAACTGCCACTTCAACCACCAAGTGTCCAAATATGATCATACATTTTCTGCGTTTATCTAA